GGGGGGTCACCTTAATGGGTATGGGGGTTTCTTTTTGGGGTGATGAACATGCTCTGGAACTAGACCGAGGTGGTGGCTGCATAACACTGTCGATGCATTAAACACCACTGAATTGTTTACTTTACCAAAGTTAGTCTTAAATTACATAAATTTCACTCCAGTTAAAAAAATCCGTAGATTACAGCGCTGACATTGCTCTGGAAAGCAGTGAAGAATCTAAACATCCACCAACAGGGGTCTTGTTAAGTCAGTGAAGGTCTATCTGAGCAGTGAGAGCAGTGCCATTAAAGCTTCATATGTGGATGAGGAAGGAAGTGAATACAGTAAGGCCCCCCACCTCATTAAATCACAACATGTAGAGCATGATCCCATCTATGTGAAAAGGTTACAAATGCATTTTTTAAAAGTCTGCAAGGATATAGCCAGACTCTTCACAGTGGTTTCTGCTGGAGGAAAAGGGAGTGATTTTGGGAGTAGGGTGGTTATTTCTCCTCTCTCAGCTTTTAGGTCTGAACTTTTACAATGACTACGTGTTACTTTTTCAAAATTATTTTTAATGTAGGTGACATATACATGTAGTAAAAATTTAAATAATACAAAAAGATATACTGTGACAAGTAAGCTTCCTTTCTACCCATTCTTCCCAGAAGTGGTTACTCTTACCAGTTTCCTACTTAGCCTTCCGGAATATTCTGTGCCTTCGTAAGCCCGTACATATTTATTATTCTCTTTCTTTTTTTTTTTCCTTAAACAAACAGGAGCCCACACTACTCTGAACCTTGCTTATTTCCCTTTAGGGTGTGGTAGGCTGAATAATGGTCCCCTGGGGATGCACACATCCTAATCCTAATCCCTAGGGATTTTGCAGATGTGATTAAAGGATCCGGAGATGGATTATCTAGGTGGGCCCAATGAATCAGAAGGGTCTTTACAAACAGAGCAGGAGAATCAGATGTAGAAGGAGATGTGACTATGAAAGCAGAGACTGGAGTCAGAGAGAGATTTGAAGATTTTATGCTCCTGGCTTTGAAGATGGAGAGAAGGGGTCATGAGCCAAAGAATGTTGGTGGCCTCTAGAAGCTGGAAAAGGCAAAGAGACAGATTATCCCCTAGAGCTTCAGAAGCAATGCAGCCCTGCTGACACCTTGATCTGGGCTCCCTAAGGCTGATTTTGCACATCTGATCCTCAGAACTGTAAGATAATGTGTTGTTTTAAGCTATCAGATTTACGGTCATTTGTTACAGCAGCCATAGGAGGTTAACACAGTATCTCAGAGGTTGTCCCATGTCAGTCTGTCTAGATCAAGTGCACTGTTTGGAGTGACTGACAGCACAGGATTCCCCTCACCGGAGGCGTGTGCCTAGTCCCACCAGTGACCAACTCACAGGTTGTTTCCCAATCTTTGCTGCCCCAATGTTCCAATGAAGAACCTGGCACGCTGTGTGTCACTTCTATGATTTTTTTAAAAAAATTACCATTTAAAAAAAAAATTCACCAAGACTTCAAAAAAAAAAAAAAAAGAGGAGTTCTTTCTCTCCCCACAGCACCATGCCAAGGGACTTTCAAAGAGTTTCTTGCTGGTTGACTGGCAGAGCAGTTTCTGCAACCAGCGGAGGTTGGTTCCGCGTGTTCCTGTTCCAGCCCCTGGGGCATGTCACCCTGATCTCACGAGGGGGGCTCAAGTGGAACCATCGCCACACGTGAAGGTGAAGGGGAAAATTAAGGTGCCGTGGACATTTCCTTCTTTCATAAGACAGGAAACAGAACTAGCACCTACCTAGAAAAATACCCAGCTTCAGTAATTCAAGCAACAGAAAATTTAAACCTAACATGACTTCTCCATTAAAAGAGACAAAACAAATAAAACTGAGAACACCCAATGCTTGTGGGGCTGTAGAAAGACTTGCACACATTGCCAGGGATAAGTTTTCTAAACAGCCACCTGGTAGTAAGTGGCATGTGCCTTCAGAATGATCACACCCTTGACTTCAACAGTTTGGGAACTATATATGTCAAAAGAGATCACTCGGTAGCAGAAAAAAAACAAACAAACAAATATGTGCAATTTGCACAAAAAAATGTTTAAAGCTAAGTTGGTATTACGGCTAGAAGCTGGAAACAGCATCCAAGCCCCGATTTAAGGAAAAGCTGAGGAAGGCAGTGGGTGGTTAGGAGGAATGGCAACTCGGAGGTCTATGCAGAAAGAATGCCGTGAGGCAATGAGGAGAACTCTGAGGGTTGCACACTCTGCTTGCAACTGTACAAAATTATCAGACCTTTTCCTGTGTGCCAGGCAGAGTGCTGGGTTCTGGGGAATCCGAAGGGAAGAGGCAAGAAAAAGGTCAGGGCCCTGGTAGGCTGACATTTTAGCCGGTGAGACCAACGAAGAACCAAGGGAAAAACATGAGCAAGGAATCATCATCCAGGTCTAAGCAAGGGAAGACGGAGAAACGGTAATGCAACGGGGTGCAAGCGCGTGTGGCTCTGGCAGTGGGGTGGTCAGGGCAGACTTCTGAGCCTTATAGGGTGGTCCCTGAATTGCAAGGATGTTAAGTTACACGAAGATGGCAGGGAAGGACATTCCCAAGAGGAAGAGCACGTGCAGAGGCCCTGAGAGCAGAGAACTCGGGCATGTCTAAGGAGAGAGCTGTGGCTGCACTGGGCAGCAGGGTAAGAGGATGGTGGCGGGAGAGGACAGTCGGGAATTAAGTAGGCCCCCTCAATGCTGAGGGTCTGGGGGTCGAGGTGGGAGCGCAGAGGAGCAGCCAGATACAGAATATGCTGAGGGGTAGAACGTGCGGTGGGCTTTGATGTGGGGGTGGGCCTTGATGTGGGGGACAGGAGAAGAGCAGGCTGAGGGGCAAGGATACTCTGGGCTTCCTCCTTCTTGCTAAAGCAGTGGGGGGGGAGGGCTTGGGGGATGCAGAGAGGTTCTGGAATTGTGCAAGCTGCAGCTCGAAGATTTTCAAAACCCTGCTCTTACCAGCCTTTCCTCGAGGGGGTCAGAGAGGGAAGAAGTTGCCACCCCCAGCCTTGGTCTTACTCAAGAAGCTCCAGCTGCTTGGCGGGGCTGCCCGGAAACACTGCAGATCTCAGACAGTTCTGACTGACTCGAGGTTAAAGGTGTCCAGGACAGAGAAGTGCTTCAGAGGGGCGGGGATGGAGCTGGGCGCAGGTGGGGCCAGGCACTAGGCTAGGCCTTCACACCAGTCATCTCATTTAATCTCAGCAATCCCATAAGGTGGGTGCCACGCTTAACGCCATGGGACAGATAAGAGGTACAGAGAGGTAAAGTCTCATGGCTAAGCCGAGAAGCGCCCCCGGGACCCAGTGGAGGTGCTGAGATAAGGCCTGGGAGTTCCCGGAGGGGGCTGGACTGCTCCCCCCACTCCTGGAGTTCAACCTGACTGCAACCCACCATTCGGATTCCTCCCACCTGTTACCCAGGAGAAGGATTTGCTGCCCTGGGTGTCCTTCCCTCAGGGTGGCTGGCTCATTTCAGTCTCCTCCTAGGATACCTGGCATTGGCTTTATCCCTCCCACCCCCCAACCCCCACTTCTCTCCCTGGGGTCTGGGGGCGGGGCAGGGATGGGGAATAAAGGAACTCAGGGCTTCGCACCCACCTGGGTGTGTAAGTTCTGGCTCTCAGTCCTTTGGCTGCGTGACCCAAGGCAAGCAAATGGCGTGGCCTCTCTGAGTCTTGGTCTCTTCACCTGTAAGAGGAAGACAAGGATGGTTGGTACCTACCTCACCCTCACGTGCTGCTGCTGCTGCTGCCTGGCGTGAGCTGAAGTCAAGGCACCTGGCCCAGACTCCGGACAAAAGGGTAGTTCTCAGCAATACCCCCATTTCCAATGGGAGATGACTGAGGCCGAGAGGGGCTTCGCTCCCAGGTCCCGTGCATGTCGTTTCCCGTTCTGCCCCTCTGATGGACTCCAGCACCCCCTGGGCAAGGCAGGGGTCCCCGGGGGAATCTGCCCGCCCGCGTGGGCCCGCGCTGGGAAACGCTGGCACCGAGGGCAGCTGGGGCGGGCTGGGATCCCGCGGGGTCCCAGCAGGATGGCGGGAGGCCTGCTCCCCTCGGAGGACGCGGGCCGAGGGGCCGCACGCCGAGACGGGGCACGCCCCCGCCCGGGAGCACTCACCCTGGG